CGCCCGAGGCGCACACACGCATTCGCTTTTTGTGGTGGCAAAAAAAATCCTTGGCGCTCATAAATTTTTATAGCTTGTAATTATTTGGAATGTCGAACTAGACGATGCTGCGGCTCAGACTGAGACTGGGGGATCCGCATCACATCCACTCCACTCCACTCTCTGCTCTGCTCATGCGCGGCAGGCGGTCCGAGTCGAAGTGCAGGCTGTTGGCTGCCTTTTGCCTGATGGCTGATGGCTGAAACGAGGGACTTTGGCTGCTTCCTGCTTTGTTTGGTTTTCGGCTGTGCTGTGGCCGAATGCCAGATTTATACTTTGGCTTAATTAATGGCAATGCTCCGGCGACTGTGATTGGCTTCGATGGCTTTTATGGATTGTGCGCGTATCTGCTGTATCTGCTGGATGCATTCGCGCAGCCAGAGTCTGTAATTATCCACAGTCCAGTGCTGAGAATCGTGTTTATAGTGTTCTCCCTCTCGCCCTGTCCACCTCTACCTCTCTGAGGCGCTAATAAAGTTGTCAGCTAATGAAATTGGCAATGGCAAAAGTCCCAATCATGATTGTTGGCAGATAAACGATTGATCAAGACAGCTTGGCCTGCCATTCTTCTCACTCTGGCAAAACGGTAACAGTTGGCCACAGAGCAGCTAACTGCTTAAAAATTAAAAAATTGGACGCGGATTTAATTCTCGAAATAATTATTTTTATTTGTCTTTCCTTCTTGGAAGATTTGGATAGTCCAACGGGGCTCAGACTTCGTAGCCAAGCACTTAAGCAAATTCTTTATGGAAATCAAGTCGTTCCTTCTGGAGTTCTCTCCAGAACTCTATCGGAAAATCAAATTTCCCCAAGCTGCATACCGTATTCCGCCGTGAAGATTTTCCCCATTTCATTTTCCAATTGATTTGTATATGCTTTCGGAAAAACTGCTTTAAAGGCTTTCAAAATTATGCTGGAACACACTCCATCGGATGTTTTCTTCAGTGTTTTGATTTCTCCCAATGTTATTTCTTATGGACACATTATGGTAATATTATCTTAAATCTGTATAGTTTCGTGTGGTATTTATTATATTTTAAACTAATTCTCTCCCCCCATTCACCGCTATCCACAATCCGGAATTTCCACAATATCCATAATTTTCATAACTACATCACCCGACCCTGCAACATGCCAGGATAAACCAAAACATTGTGCCTAGCACTCTCTCTCTCTCTCTCTCTCTCCAGCGAATTATCTGCACTTCTGCCATTCCCCAGCTCTCTGACGTCTCTCTGGCTTCTCTCTGTTCTCTCTGTTCTCTCTGTCTTCCCGAGTTCTGGCATTCTGGCGGCCACTTTCAACGCATCACCGAGCAAACTCAATTACTTAGGGAACACAGTGCTGGTCCCCAAGCCCCAGCTTCCCTTGGCGGGCCCTAGAGCCATTCCTGGCCAAGTCTCCGCTTCTTGCCAGGAAACTTAAAATGCAAACATTTGCCCCAGCTTCTCTGCTCAGATGATGCTCCAGCTTCCCCTACATGCCTCTTTTTGCCTTTTTGATGATTACAAATTAATCACACTTTAAACATGGCAATTACGCGGGACAGGCTCAGCAGGCCAAGAGGGGAGCTGCGAACTGGTAGCTGGTAGCTGGAAGCTGGTAGCAGGGGCGAACCCACTTGCATAGACACACGGCCAAGGCGAACTACAGGCTACTTCAGCTTCAGCGTCAGCTTCAGCAGCCCAGAAGCCCAGAACCAAAGCTCTGGTTCTGGCTTCTTTTATATGGAAAATTGCTTCCTTTCGCTGTTTAACTTTCGTTTTAATAAATAATCAAGTAGGCTGACTCCAACCGGGGCTCCTCTCTCCATTGAGCTCCACTTGAGCTGCTTTGAGCTTCCATTCTGTGCTGACGGTGAAGCTGTTGGAGCTGTTGGAGCTGCTGGAGCTGTTGGAGCTGCTGCTGTTCGTCAAGTTCCTCATGTAATTTCCAGGCAATTTCTCATACCCATAATTGCATAATTTCAAAGTTGTTGGCAACTTAATTGCGCTGCATGTTGGACCATGCCAAGACCAAGACCAAGACCAAGACCCTCTCTTACCATACATACCCGCACATACATTCATATGTATGGTGTGTATACACGAACCCGCATCGCAGTCTTCTTTTGGAGCTGTCTTCGGTGTAAATAAAACCTTTTTAAACGGTTGTCGGGCGGTGTGGAACCCACGTTGGGGCCTGGCCTGACTCCCAGCGACTTCAAAAGCGCGCATCATCATCAAACCATGTGTTGGACCTGCACTCTGCACAACCCAAACCTGGCCCCGCGGTCATTTGCCGCCAAAGTTAATATGCTTTATATTAAATTGTTCTGTTGTCTGGCCTCGTTTCAGTGGCTCTGCCTGCGAGCCATTTTATAATCTGCATCTGCCACAGTTCCCTGGACTTCCCCCAACCCACCCACAATTCAACCCACCCACCATTCCCCGCTCACAATCTTGTTTGGAGAATTGTTTTTTGTTTTCCCTTGTGCAGTGCGTGTCGCAAACATTTCGCATCAAATTACTCAATTAATTTCAGTTAAATGAAAAGTTAAACACAGCGTTTATTGCTGAAGGTTTGACCGGCCATAAGCGGGCTATGTTCTCTCCGGATCTGGCTACCAAATTGGTATCCATTTGCATGGAAATCACGGCTAATTGGCCAGGGACAAAGAAGTAAGGGAGCGAGACTTTATGGGTCAAGGAAGATTCGATTAAGGGAGAATAATACGAATAGGGAGTTAAACTCCGTGAGAGAATCTGGAATAATCGAAAGGGTGCTTAGTAATCCATAAATTCCATCCATCCATAAATTCCAGATAGTTCTAAATTTAAGTTAGCTTCTGTGAAAGTATCTTCGCATGCAGGTGACCCTTAGAAATACTTCCGCCTCCACTAAGACCCAAATGAAACTGAAGCAGAGGGAATTTCTCCTGAGCGGACAGTAGTCAACGAGCATTCCCAAATTGATTTATGGCCACATTTCTTGCAAATGAGCCAAGCAAATCAAAACAAGACTAGGACCAGGGCTGGCCCCCAGTTTTCCTGTTCTACCCCCTCACTCCATCTCACTCTGCTCCATCCTGGACCACTACCAATGCTGCGGACTGGACTGGCCACAGAGCAAGCGAAATGCATTTGGCACGCAATTACGGCCCAAAGTGTTAATTGCATTTCCGCTGCTCTGCCTGCTGGCTCTGACTGCTTGCTCTGCCTCTGCCTCTGCTCTGCTCTGCTGCTAACCCAAGAAGCCCCCGACCAGGCGCAGCAGCGGCAGCAGAAGCCATCCGAGCCATCAAAATGCGGCACGGCCCACAGCTCACGCATTTGGCATTAACCAGAGCCAGCCTACACACACTGAGAGAAACCAGGTGGGAGATTTTGGCTAGATGGAAAATAATTAATGATGGTTAAATATATTTCTGACATTTTCTAATTAAATAAATACAAAACCAATGATGCTAAAATATAATACGATAGATGGTCTTGTGTCTCTCATCACCGTCCTTGTGTATTTATTTACTTATACAAAGTTTAAAACTATGAACTATCTTTGGAGCTGAGAGCAGTGGTCCAGCGCAGACCACTTGCCTATTATTTCTCGCAGTGCTGTGCAGAGTAAATGTGGCCAGGCCAAGCCAAACCAAAGCATTTGGCAGAGATAAGCAAGCGGCAGCAGAGTTAACGGCTTTTTTTTTGTGGCTCAGAACGAACCGCGGAGAGCTGGGCAGGGGAGAGGAGAGGAGACGATGTATGAGATGGCGATGGCGCATGCGTGGCAGACACGCAGCAGGCGGCCCAACAGTGCAGCAGCAGCAGCAGCAGAAGCGGCAATGGACCCAAATGGAGCGAAACTAAGTCAAACATTTGTAGAACACCGAGAAGTACGCGAGACAGAGCGGGATATCAGGAGGATCCCCAGGCGGGGAATTGCGAATGGAAAAGTGGAAAATTTATGGGCCCCAAAAGGCGAATAGATGTCGTAGATTCCGCATGCTGGAAAGAATAGTTAACAGTTGTGGATGGGGCAGAGAGGAGAAGGAAGCCCGAGATCTGTGCCCATGTAGCTGCATGGACACGTGTAAGAGGAAAACAAGAGGAGGCATCGATGCCCGGAGAAGAAGATAGAAATCTTCACCTTGAACTCTCTCGGCAGAAACCATAAAGTGCTTTTTAATTGACCAAAAATCCCAATGCCATTCCAGCGAACATTTCAAGCGTTTATCGGTGCCAGAGCTGACAGCCGAACCAGGCAGCAGAACCCCGTTCCATTTGGGGATCCAACTCGACGTCTTTTCGTGTCTCTCGCTCTGCATACGGCAACAATTTCTGATAAGCCGCCACAAAAATGTTAGCCAACTTTGTTGGCCAAAGTGGCACAGCTGTCTGCTCCAGCTCCAGCTCCAGCCCCCGGCCCAATCTCCATCCCATGGCCATATCTGTTTTGTGGCATTTGTATTGGCAAATCAATGATAATGACATTTATTTGCGCCATCGCTTGGCGTTCTTTTGCGGGGCTCTAACCGAAATCCGTTAATAAGCTATTTTGACAAATTGGATGATTGTAGTCGTCTTCAAAGTCCTCGTTGTCGTCCTCGTCATTGGCGTTGTCGTTCTTGTTGTCGGGTGCCAGCAGCAGATGGGACAGCGCCTGGGGTGGGAGGGAAGCAAGTCTGCACTTGCGAAAGTGTGGCGAAAGTGAAGATAGAATATCAAGAGAACGACATCACCAGTGACAGGGATTGGCTTGGGAATGGGGCTGGGGCTGTGGCTGTGGCTGGGGCTGTGCCTGGAGCTAGGAAATGGAAGGGGGGGGAGGGGCTATACTCGCTCTCGCGTGGTGTGGGACACACATAACACTCAACAGAGGGAAGAGAGAGGAAACCTTCAAGTTGTATCACATTTCGCAAATATCCTAATATAGTTTTGATTTGATTGTGCAAATAATTCTCCTCCACTCTCTACAGTTACCTTTAATTCTTTATTATTTATTTTACTCTATTTGCAGTACAATCTAAGATACATTCCATTGAGTTACGACTGTTGCATGGTCCTGCAACCTCTACATCATGTCTCGCTTATAGCACGTGACGGTATTCTGGCACTCGGCATCGTGCACTTGATGGAAAACTATGGAAAAACAAAGACAGGTGCTCAGACATGGCAATGGAACTCTGACTGCAGAGAGCTTACCATTTTTGGTATTGAAGCAATTCCATTGACTCAGCTCGCATTGGCCGGGAAAGTTGACCACACACTTGCCATTGCTGGCGCAGATGGACAGCGCCTGACGTGGACACTGGAAACTGCACTTGCCCAGCTCGATCTCCTCTTCATGCTGGGCAATCAACTGGGGGATGTTCACCTGGTTGGCGTGGTGAGGCCACTTGTCCAGGGAGCGACCTGTTTTGGATTTTGTTGGCACTGGAGTTGATGGGGAGTCCGGCTGGGGCGCCTTTGGATCTTCGTTTTCCTGCTGTTGCTCCTTCTGTTCTTCCTTGTTCTGATCCTTCGCTTCCTGCTGCTTCTGCTGCTCCTTCTTCCTCTTGATCGCCTCTTGAATGGCCAGAGGAATGTGGAGCTGCGCCTGTTGCATCACATGAGTGACATGCTGCTGCAGCTTGTTCACCTTGTCCGCAACATCGGCGGGCTGCTGGCCGGGCAGGGAGAGCACCACCTGCGGCACCGGGGGCATCACTACCTTGTTCTGCACCACCGGGCGCCCCTGGTGGAAAATGGAGCCGGTGGCCTCGTGATTTATCACCCTCACCTGTGGATCATTAGCTTGCAGCGGTTGTAGGCCAGGTTGCAGCGCAGGTGAAGCCGTTGGCTGGTCAGGGGCAGGGAGATGGACATCACTAGGGTGTGCAAGTGGTGGAAGGAGACCTGAAAAGGGCTCAGCCACTGGCGACCCGCTCCCTTTGCTCGCCTCCACAGTGCCAGTCAGTGTGTGGGGCCTCTGAGGATTGTTCTTCACGTGCTGGAGCACGTGATGGATGTGATTGGTTATCAGTGTCTGTATGTGCTCGGGCAGCTCCCCCTGCTGGGGTTTCCCTGTCGTTGTGGTTGCCCCTGTGGTCTGCGGCACCTCTGCGGCCTGTGCCAGGGAGAGGAGAGCTGTGCCTGCAAAAGTCAAGTATTGTAGTGGGATTCTCGCTTAGAGCAGCCGCAGCAACCGCAGCAGCGGCAGCCCTGACTTACCAAGCACCAACAGCACTCTCATTTTGCTTGCAAAATTCATTTTCCTGGTCGAATTTGCCTTTACAGTCCTTTGCATTCGAAGGCGTTCGAAGGCGTTCTGTGGCTGTGTTCCCGAAAGTTGCCACCTTATAAAGTTTTTTCCGATCCCTAAACACCTTAACACCTGCCTTGTCACGATTTCGTATTAACATTTGATCATATCATTTATGGATTTTATTTCCACTCTGGCGATGAACAGGTTTTCTGGTCTCGCTTGAACGCAACGCTGCGATGAGACTTGTCTGGAGAGACTTACCTCCCAGCTGGCACATGTCGATATATCGCTCATTTTTGCTTTAATCGCTTCCTTATAGAATAAATACGATGCTGGGCAGTAAAGGCTTATATTGAGTAATTTGTGAATTATTTTAAGATACTGTCCAGGAGTATGGGATATAAACCTCCCAAAGAGCGGTCTGCTCTGCAAATAATAATAGTTTTAGCGGGGGGCTAGTGCTTGAAGGTTCAGTGGTTCCAGCGGTGGGATAGAAAATAATTGAAATGAAAATATCTTAATTCCAGAATTTCCAGATATTTTACGGATATTTTTAATAATATTTATTATACGTCCAAAAAAATACAAAAGTATTCTTATTGAAAACTAATTGGTTCCCATCACAAACGACTCCAACCCCAACCCATCCCCCAGGGCCACAGCTAACTGCATACAATATATCGATGTGGAAAAAAACATAGCGCCGCCATAGCCACCCAACGGGATTTTCCGCAGCAAAAACATATTAAAAAAAATACAATGGAGCCCCAACAAATTGAAGCGGTGACAAAAAAATATGCAAATCTGGCATTTCACGGTCTTATTTTTAGTCAGACGGGAGAACATTTAATTACAAGCCAGAAAAGAATCAAAATGCCAGGCAAAGCCGTTGATGATGCAATTTCATATCTGTGGCAGGTGTTAAAATAAAGGATTATGCAGGGAAGCAGGAAGGACAGGGACATGGACAGGCGCAGCGACGGGGACAGACACACAGCAGAAACCAACAGCTTTTGTCGACTGAAATTCGACTTTTTGTATAAAAAAGAAGACGGAGGATGGCAGAATCCACAGTTTTACAGTTGCTGCACACGCAGCAAGGTGAACAACAAAGACAACAGAGCAGTGGAACAACAGTCACAGCCAACAACCGTAGCAAAGCCCAAAGATGAACCTCCTGTCGCCTCTGTTGCTGCGTAAGCTTCTTTCTCTTCCCTTCACTCCCAGTGTCCTCCTACAACTTTATTTTCTTCACAGTTTTCATTGCCGGCTGTGCCGTGGCAAAGGTATTGCCCAGCAACGGTGATCTCAGCATTGATCAGCATGGACAACGGGTGTATAAGGATCAGGTGGAAGACGACAAGTGCCACTATCACTGCCCGGAAAGGGATCCTTCCGTATGCTCTTCGAACGGACAGTGCCTGCTGAAGTTTGAGAGCCGCTGCAGTATGGCCGCCTACAACTGCCGAAATCCCCAGAAGCCCTTCAGCATTGTGGAAGATCACCGCTGCACCAAGGACTGGGAGCCCATGTGCTTGGAGTCGGACCTCAAAGAGTTTGGGTTGTAACGACGGTTTTGGCTATGAGGTTGCAGCATTAAAGGAATAAATACATGAAAAACAATACACGAAACGGAGTACTTTGTGGGGGAATTACAAGGTCACTTATAATTGAAATGACTTAATAGCTGAGGTATTCACGGATATTCCTTCCAAAAGTCGCAGTGAGATCGAGGAAGCTGCAACAAATGTTCAATCAAATAAGTTAGCTTGTACATATTTTCAGCTTTTCTTGCTTAAATATTATATACAAACAATTTTAAAATTGCATAGAATTCAATTCGTGAGAACTTAGTAGTAAGCAATGTAAACCTATCAGTTATAGAATCAGATTTAGAAAGAAAATATTATGTTGATAGGCAATTTTAGACAACAAGCCAGAAACGGAAGGCTAATTTCGAGGGAGAGGCATCTGAGGCTTCTGAGACTTTGATGCAATTGGCTTTAGGTACTGGAATAAAGAATTTTTCTTCGTCCGGTTGATCCTATGTCTGACATTGGCCCTCGGCAAGGAATCAATTGGAGTGAACAAATACAATTTATGAGTATTATTGTTGAGGAACGCATTCGATATTATTACTTTGTCATCTTTATATTTAAGTCCATCTCGAAGAAGAATGGAAATTAGGATAGAATGGAAGTGACGTAAAAACATCTGTATTCGCTTGCCGCTGCGCCGGCATTATTCAGTACCGAAAAGACAGCGAACCGAACAAGAAATAAAAATAAGTACAGTCCACTAAAATCAAGTTACTTAAAAGGGAGTATTCCAGAACAATTATGAAGCTCGATTAATCAAATTTATAAGAGTATTTTGTCCATTAAAACCCTGAATTGAAGAGCTCAGTGACTTATTGCAATAATATTCTGAAAGTCAGAAGGACAGTGAAATATAAGCCTAATTTTCAGCTTAGAAGAGAGAAATTGTGAGATCAACTGATCAACAAAAATGGAAATCAAGAGGTTTGTCTACATTTTCACTATTTGTATTTTATGCTTTACGGATATATGAGATTACGGAATAAGTATGTCATCATAGTTTTAAAGCTTTAGGTCCTCCTCCTTGCATCGTCTGGCACACAGCTCCAGCCTGCAGACATCCTCGTCCACGCTGCGGAAGGACAGATCCCGATGCTTGCAGTTGAACGTGTCCATTACACACTGATTGGCAAACTCGTGGACACACACTCCGTTGTGGGCGCAGATGGGCATGTACTCGTGCTTGGTGCACAGCTCGTCGCAGTTCTCTGCCGGCGGAGTGGCTATCGTTTCCAACGGTGAGACGGTGGTCATCCCAGCCAGCAGCAGGTGGTGGCAGTTCTTGGACGGCACGCGCCTTGGCGAGTACTGTCGTCATAGTGGGGCTGGTGGTGCTGCGGTGGGTTGGCATTACAGCAACAGGTTGGATCACAGAGGCATCGGGAATTGGGATGCCATGGTTGGGAATGCCAGGATTCGGAATTCCTTTATTGGGAATGCCAGGATTCGGAATTCCCTCATTCGGAATGCCACGGTTCGGAATTCCTGCATTCGGAATGCCAGGGTTCGGAATTCCTTCATTCGGAATGCCAGGTCCCTCATTATGCTGGTATCTTGGATTCCACGGTTCGGAATTCCTGCATTTGGTATGCCAGGATTCGGTATTCCTTCATTCGGAATGCCAGGGTTTGGAATTCCTTCATTCGGAATGCCACGATTCGGTATTCCTGCATTAGGGATTCCACGGTTCGGTATTCCTTCATTGGGAATGCCAGGATTCGGTATTCCTGCACTAGGGATTCCACGGTTAGGTATTCCTGCATTGGGAATGCCAGGATTCGGTATTCCTTCATTTAGTATCCCCGGATTTGAATGATCTACAATTGATCTCGCACTCCGAACTTTGCTGAGCGTTGGAGGCACAACTACGTCATTGACCACCTGGATCTTTCCCGGCTTGATCTCCTCCACGCGGGCCACCTCAACACTTTCGTGGTTACCCAGAAGTACGGGCTTTCCATTAGACAGCAACGGCACTTGGATGGTAACCCGACCGATCTCTGCATTTGGCACAACCTGCGCTGTGGCGTGAATGGCGCACAGCAGCACTGAAAAGAGAAGATTAGACAATTAAGGACCGCATCATGTGCGTATATTCAAGTTCCCACCTGCGGCCGAAGAGAAAATCAGCTTGAACATCTTTAACCGTCAACTGCAGTGTCTTCTCTGTCCTTTGGGGGTATCTTGACACAGCTTATATAACCCTCCAACCGCTACGTAATCACAATCACTCCTTCAGAACCTGTTCCCCAGTTCGGGCTTCCTTAATAAATTACACATTTATGTTTATTGCTTTTGAACGGGTTTGCCAAATTAGCATCCACTTGGTGTTTGAGGGCAAGGCAAAAGGTTTGTTGTTCTTTTTATAAAATATTACTCTTTATTTCGATAAGGTTCCTCGACTTGCATCTGGTAAATTACACTTTAAAAATCCATGGTATTCAGTATAGTGTCATTAATCAATGGACTGTTTTTTGAAACAAATTCATTTAAGGCAATCTAATTTTGATTTACGTATTACATATATCAGAATTGCTTCAGTTGTATGGATACATTAGTTCCTATGGGGTTGACCGCTTGAGTTACTCTAGTCTATTAGGGATCGTATGTATTTGAAGCTTCTGGGCTCACGATCGATCCCTAAATGTTTGCACATTACGTCCATTTAATTGGGGTTATAAACAATATGCAGAGTAAGTAGTACGTAGTACGTATTGTATTTATGTACGAGTAGTATGAATGGGGATCCCCTGGTATGGGGATCTCTAAGTTGTAACTGTGCTGTACATTGACATATGGTTCGGGGCTATGATATCTTTCTTCTAGTGATAATTGCTTCTTCTCAAACTAAAACTCCGCCTCATATCCTGGGATTGTCCATACCATAAACGCAAATTTTTTGATAGATTTCTGCAACTACTTTAGGGATAGCCAGCGAGAAGGTCATTATGGGAATAGAAGCAGGATAAGATTAAGAAAGAATTAATAGCATTGATAATAATGAAAAAAGGGACATTTATTCAGCAGTTCCCATGAAGACTTTCAGAGCTATCCCCGTTTAAACGAAAATTGGAAAATATCTCGTTTCAAACGTTAACATCTCAATAAAGTTTCTCATCTCGCGCTATGCACAGCCCTCAAACAAACATTTTAAGCAATTATCGTAACTTGTCATTGGATCAACAGCTTATTGGGTGCGGTTCCGTTTGAAGGGACAAACAAATTTCAGTTCCTAGGAGCTAGCAGTATTTATAGTTAATATCTTAAGGCCTGAACAACACATAATATACAAAATCAAACTGGAAACGAACAAAGAAACTTGCACAGAACTTCTGACTCGTTTCAAACAACACACTAAACTTCCCCTTTCCATTCATATAAACAATTTAAGGATTTTCGCTTTCACACATACAATTTTTGCTCATCCTATTGCTCTATTTCTGTTGCTCTTCATATTCCTACTCTGTGTTGGTTTGGTTTAAAAATCTACGATAAATTGTTATAAAATAAATTAGTGTCTTATGTTAGGTATAAATATCTAAATAGATTAGAGCTTAGAATAGTAAACGTAAAGTACAGTTTTGTTTTGCTTTGTTTTGTTTTGCTTTGTTTAGTTTAGTTGTTCATTTTAGTTGGTGTTAGGTGGTTGCACACTGCCGCCAGTGTCTTCTGGTTCTGGTTATGTTTTTTGTTTTGTTTCTGTTGTGGTTCTGCTTCACTTGCGCTCCATGGGCTTGACTTCCAGCAGCTGGGGATAGTTCTCCACAATGTTGAGTAGGATGGTATCAATGTAGTGCTTGAGCCGGACATTCTCGTCTTCCTTTTCCTGGAAGGCCTGCTGCAGCTGTAACACAAGATGTTCGATTAGTTCCGGCGTCAAATAAAAGCGAGGGGAACATAAAAATAGAGTTGCGTTTAGAAATGTACAACATGAAGTTAGAGACCACGCCAAAATGTTCTTGAGAAATGATTAGAGACCAATGAACCCGCTGATTAAGATTTAGATTAAGTCAAACGAATGGCATAGATTCAACAACTGCAAGGCGTGCACAGTGGCTCCGAAACCGTGTTTGATTTGGGTTTAATTGTGGCGTGATTCAAGCATTACCTGACTTAAGGATGCTAATGTGGCTGAATCCACAGAATCCTGTAATACAATAAATTTCAATATAAATACAGATACATATAGGCAGTACGAGTGTGCAAGTAGGCAGTGGATATCAGGGGACGCATTGCGGTACGAGCCCTAGCACTAGGAGACTCAAACGGTGCGTATTATTTTGGTGGTGGCTTGGCCGGTGACTCTGTGTGGGTGTGTGTGTGTGTGTGTGGGTATGGATTGGATTGCGGATTGTGGATCGTGGATTGGGTGTGGACAACACAGCAGAGACTAAAAGCTGAAGCGTGAGGCATCTCACAGAGGGTTCTGGCTACACACCTGCGCTTGTGACATCTCCTCCAGCTCCTGGGCCAGACTGCCCAGGGTGCCGTTGAGCAGATGGCGGCCCTGCTCCACGCCGTTGTTCAGCATGGTGGCCTGGTTGGTGAGCATGGTGGCCTGCAGCTCCTCGTTCTGCTCTTCGAGTGCTGCGGGGGAGAGGAAAGAGTGAAGTTAGTGGACTCTCTGGCGGATAATTACAATTTGAACACTCACATCGATTCTTTTGGCGCATCTCCTCGAGCTCTTGGTGCAGCTCCTCCAGTCTTATGCTCTCCGGCGATGTGGTGGGCATGGCCCTCGCCCCGTTCTCCTCCCGCGCCCGCTGCAGCTCTCGGCTCAGCTCCAGCATCAGCTCCTCCGTGGACTTCTTCTCCATCTCCTGCTTTCGCAGAGTCTGCTCCTGCTCTTCGTACTCCTGCTGCAGGGCGGCGATCTGATCGCGTGCCAGCTCCAGCTGCTCCTCCGTGCGATGCAAATCGTTGGCCTGCTTATCGCACTGCACACGCAGGCGCTGCGCCTCGTCGCGCAGGGCGTTGGCCTCGATCTCGGTGGCTCTGATCTTCATCTGGCAGTTCTCGTTCTGCAGTGAGGCTTCGCGCTCCACCCTAGCCAGGATCTCGCGGTGACGCTTCTGCTCCTCGGCCAGGCGTTCCTCGGCGCGCAGCTCCGACTGAACGAGTGCCGAATGGCATAAAATAGTTTAGTACAGTGCTTCCAAAACCTTGCAATGGATGCCTTTTACTCACCTCCCTGAACTGCTCTTCCAGCATGTGATATCGAGCCTGGAGCACTGCATACTCGGTCTTGGTGCGCGTCGTGCGATCCTCGGCTATATTTTGTGTATCCGACAGATCATCAACCTTGCGCTGCAGCAGCTCCAGCTGGAAGGAGATAGAGCGAAAGAGGGGGGGATATGAGCTGTGAGTGCAAAGTTCTTTGTGCGGCTCGTGGCTCCACTAACACAATCGTTTCTCATGTGCCGCAAGTCGAGGAGCAGATCGTTCACCAGCTGCACATCAGCCATGGGATATTTCAGATACATTTGCCTATGTGAATCTACTCGTATTTGTATTTTGTTTTCCTCTCTACATTATTGCTCAAGAATGCTCACTGCTCTATGGAAAGATTTTAAATGTTTTCTCGCGTCGTCTTTGCTCAGTTGATGGCCGAGGCAGACTGCGAGTGTGGCCGCCGCCTCGCTTATTTTCTTACGAAATACCAAGCCAGCGACATCGACAATGTTAATTACACTAGTGAACAGCGGAAAAGAAGCTGCTGATTATGGAATGCACTTCTCAGTGTTTCCAGACAGAGCCCATCTACAACCAGCAGCTGCCCACACACTTTTTTGTTGGCTAGTGCTATTGGCATGCCTTGCCCATATGGATCTCACATGTATCTCATAAATATTGCGCATACGCCTCATGGGCAGACACTTGAGCAGCAGGCGGCACAAAAACAACGAAACGTTTGCCTCTCGTTGGCGTTTTGCATTTGGCTTTTGGCCATACAAGCAACAGTCGCGGGAATGTGCAAAATCAGTGCTCGTCAATATCTGTATGTATTTGCATTTTGTGGGACTGATGTGTACTCATGATATAAGAAATGTGCAAGAAATGTGAATGCAGGCCATACTCGTACAGGATGTTGCCTATGTTTGATAAGGCCTAAGGAAAACTAGGGTGCCTGTCTGTGAAACTACTTAGGCCAGCCGACAGATTCGAGACGGGTCTTAAGCTACCCAAAGGGGGTCTGGACATCGAATACCACCCATGGGCACTCGTCCCCTCGTGTTCTAATCCTCTGGAAAATGTCAATTGAGAAGTTCAATTAGCGGACGACATTTTTGCGGCTGTCAGTCGGGGGTCGCATTGCAGTAGCTGCCAAACTGTCTGGCCAAAGGTTCAATTAGGCTTAATTAAATGCAATTTGCGGGCCACAACTCGCAGTCCAGTTTACAATTTTTGCTCGATCTACAGAATGTACAGTGACTGTACAGTATGGGGTGAGCAGGGCAGGCGGAGGGCGCACTGTACTCTATCAACGAACACACGAACACAATCGACGTCAAACGCGGCGCGGCAGCAACTGAAAAGAGGCCCTCCCAAAAAACCAACAAACTGATTCCGATCCACAGAGAAATAGAGAATGCGAGACGAGAGAGCGAGTCGCTGAGTCAACTTTCCCAGTGCGATATGGCGGGGTTCTCGATTCGGGCCGGCCTCTGTCTCTGCGCACTATGTGGACTATGTGTACAATGAACCATGCCAAAACCAAAAGAATATAAGAATTACTCGTACTACCTAGCTACCTTCTATATAGAAACAGCAAGAAACTAGAATTTAATTTAAGTGTCTACAAAATTCTTCCGAAAAAAATAGGGAAAGAAGAAGCGGCGGAGGCGAAAACAGAAGTCGCTTCTCATTCAGAAACCGTTCTTCAGAACGTAAACAAAGGGAGGAGAACACACACAAGGCGGATCGACTATGTGATACCCTGTGCCAAGAACAACCATGTGTCGATACATATAATACGTAATAGAATTTAGCAGAGGGTAGATGCCCTCAAAGTACCCAATTGCAAGTACAGGGTATGAAGGGAGCCAAGTACAGAAGCTATAAACATAAAAAGAAAATGTTGTTGGGGCATAAAGAGAAAACAATAAAACTGTAAGACAAATTGAGTAACAAGTGACGAAGACGAGACGAGACGATGACGATGACATGCCAGCTCCCAAGGAGATGGAATCGGCCTAAGAAGGGCGAAACGGCTTTTTTAAATGGGCTTTACTTTTTCTTGTCACTTTCCGTCTTTCCTCCGCGGACAGCGTGGAAGTGGAAAGGTGTTCCAGGGTCAGAGTGCCGCTGCCTGCACTTTGATTTTCCCAGTTTTCGCTTTGACAAGTTGAAGGCCTGACAGGTGCCAGTGACTGATGGGAAGTTTTTCAACGGCAAGTGGCAACACGCAACAGCTGTGGGGCCGCAGGGCAAGCCAGAACCGAATAAGAGCAGAACTCCCTGTATTGCAGCTTATTTTAGAGGGGAATTGCCTAGAGATATCGAATGTTTGGGCTGCTCTAGTGGTGGACCACATCTTTATATTCTAATCACCAAAACATTCCCTACATTTATTAGTTTACCCAACGAGCCGCAACGGTTTCCGTTAATGGTGCCTCTGTCCACTCGATAACGGATCATAAATAAGAGAATCAAAAACAATTGGAAAATCTTTAAGCATTCGAGCATTATAATCAGCATTAGCTTTGACCCAAAAAGCGATGTTCGATTGCAGCACACACTGGACTTCCTCCTCCGAGCGATACAATGCCCTGCATCTATTACATTTATCAAATGAACTCCGCTCCCCCAATATGGATCCAGTAAACAAATCGGGCATCCGCTGGAGGCTATCGCAGAAGTACTGACCTCCAGCAAGTGTGGAAAGATATTCCGCATCTCCGGGCTCCCATTCACAGTGGGATGCTTGGCCAATTACTTAGCTACATATATGCCCCATAATTATGTTGCTTTGTGGATGAAAGGGGAAAAAGGGCAGCCAGGGATTCTTGTTTCTATTCTGTCTCTAATGGGAGTCCGTAACTGGAGCAATCGTCTTGGAAATTAACGTTCCAAGAGCTGCTTTCTCATAGTCGAAGCTACGGCGACCGGGGACCGTGCACCGTGGACCGGACCTCAAGGGCTCTACTCATTTGGGCTTAATTCTCTCTTACTTTCGTTGACACATTTTCCCCCTAGAAGCTAATCGTCAATTTCGTTATAGTTTTCCATCATTCATTTTCGTTTTTTTTTCAACTAATTTCTCTAAATTTGTGGTCTGTTTTTTTTTCTTCTCTCAGTGATGACTGACGATGCTGATCTCATTTGACGCAAAATATAATTTATTTCTGTTTATAGTTAGCAGATGTTTGGCAAATTATACACGCCAGGCACGCAGAAAAGTTTCTTCGACTTTGAAATGTTATTTCTGTCTAAGTTTTGACGTTGAAAAAGGTAAACATGTCAAGGAAACAATAAACATACATATTAATGAGAACTTCTATTAAAACCAGGCTATTGATAGAAAGGAGACAGCTTGGAGGTTGGTTGGATAATTTAAGGCCAGTGGAAACTCCTTTTAAACTCGGCACTTAATGGTATAACACTCACATCGTTTGTTTCCAGCATAGTATTTGTTCCTGTTCACAGTCCCAGCAGCAATCGAGTCAAATGTCAAATTGGAGAGAAATTCCACCTCGAAAAGGACAAAGCAGTCGAACCAATGCCATACAAAGTTAGACTGAAGCTAATTGCATTCTAGTGTACCTCATTTATAGTGAATGGGCATTATTGACATGCTATATCTAGTATATCTGTCATGACATGCGAACCCTAAGTGGGTGGGTGGCACCAGCAACCGGCCACCGGCCACCCGCACCCCCCACGGTGAACAGTGAACCCTGAACTTTTGATGGAATTAACCTCAGCGAATGCCGAATGCGGAATGCTGAATCCAGCAGCAAGGGTAAATTATGAGTACGCTTATAATGGGGCTGCTTACTTGCTCGTTGAGATTGTCGCAGATCTCGGCACTGAGCGCACCGTTCATTTTGTTGCCAGATCCTCCTGGGGCACCACCTCCAACGCCACCTCCTCCGCTGTTGTCCTCGAAATCACAGAGCAATTTGTTTTTGAAATTCTTTAAATTCTCCAACTTGAATCCGTTGGTGTTCGTATTGTTGGTTTTGTTGTTGAATTTACTTGTCAACGTCTCCAAATTGTAGACTTTGTTATTGCTATTGTTATTGCTATTGCTATTGCTATTGATGTGGTTGTTGTTCGATTCGATGCTGTTGTTGTTCGTCTCCAATTTGTTCTCGATGAAGACCAACGAGTTGGGCTCCGAATTCGATGGCACTATATCCTCAAAGTCCGCCGGATTGAGGCTCAGAAATGTCTCCTGATCGATCAGTATGGGTGGATGCTTGCCGAACCCGCAATACTCGTACTCCCCCACGCCCACGCCCCCGCCCAAGCTGTAGGCGTTGCTCAGTGGATTCTGCGTGGAGCTCGTGTTGAAGTTCAGATTCAAATCCTCCAGACTCTCCGTCGAAAGTTTCCGGCTTTGCTGTCCTGCTCCTCCGATCCGGCACTTGTTGTTCAGGTTGTTGTTGCTTTTGTTCGCCTGTGGGTGGTTCGTTGTGGGTCCGACAAACTCGAATTGGCCCGCCCACATATCATAGGCGAGGTCGATGCTATCGGGCTGGCTGGCAGGTTGACTACTCATGATTTAGTTGGTGTTTGTATTTGCTTTAGTTTGGCTTTGTAGATTTGTCGGGCCGTGGCACTAGTTTGTTTGTCACTTTGATGAGTATTTTTTGTGCCTTATTTTTATTTTAGATTGGGAAGACTGTTTTATTTGTCTCTTTATTTTAAAATGTTTTTTTTTATATTTCAATCATTTGTCTGAGGCACTTTTCTATGCATTTTAAGGCTTGACTCTGACTACATTAAAAAAAATTCATATATTTTATTTTATTATTTTTAATTTGGTTCCGTATTCACGTAATAGTTTTACTGTTAAGTTATTTCATTCACATTTTCCATAATTTAGTGTAATTTATTTATCATTAAACTTGAGAGACCTCTTGCCTGTTCTTTCTTCTACCATTTTCCCCTCCTGTACTCCCTACGCCCGAAAGTCGACAACCCAAGACGTTTTCTCACAATTAAAAGCAGTTTTATTTCTTTCTTTAGCTTTGTGCCCGAAGATGTCTCCCCAAAAGTGGGTTTCCTGAACTCTTCTTGGACCAAAGTTCAGCCAAAAAAACAAAAGAATTTCCCCCTCGGGCAGAAAAATGAATTGTGCAGAATAAATAAATAAA